CGATAGCGGCCGCATACACCTTCAGGGTGGAGGGAGACAGCCTTCGCTCCAACCCGTCTTGCAGGAAGGAAAGCACGACACTGATCGAGCATCTCCTGGGGTCTTCTCGGCGAGAAGAACACCAGTTGACGAAGAGGTTACACTTCAACGCATAGACATGTCTCGTGGACGATGCTCTAGCGGAAGTGATGGTAGCCGCCACCGCAGGTGGCAGGGTACTCAAACCTGCCTCGTCCCGTCCAGGAGCCACACGTGGAGCCTCCAAAGATCGGTACGAGGGTGCCAGAGGGTGCCCCGTCTCTGAGAAAGGAGATCCTTCCTCAGAGGGATTGGCCAAGGAGGTGCTGTCGCGAGGAGTACGAGTTCGGAGAACCAGGTCCGGGTGGGCCAGTACGGCGCAACCAGAATGACCTGCTCCTCGTCCTCCTTGATCTTGCACAGAGTCCGTGCGAGAAGGCTCACTGGGGGAAACGCATATTTGCGTAGGCCCTGTGGCCAGCTGTGCGCCAGTGCATCCGTGCCGAGAGTGCCCTCGGACAGGGAGTAATACAGGGCGCAATGGGACGAGTCGTGGGAGGCAAACAGATCTATCTGTGCGTCCCCGAACTGGTCCCAAATCAGCTGGACCGACTGGGGATGGAGTCGCCATTCGCCGGAGATGGGTCGGAACCGTGACAGCTCGTCGGCTGCAAAGTTCCGGTCTCCCGGAATGTAGATAGCACGAAGGGACCTCAGGTGCTTCTGACTCCATAAGAGGAGGTGGCGAGCGAGTTGCGACATACGGCGGGAGCGTAGACCACCTTGACGGTTGATGTACGCTACGGTCGCGGTATTGTCTGAACGGACTAGTACGTGTTGACCCCTGAGCAACGTGAGAAAACGGTGCAGGGCAAGGCGTACTGCCAGCAACTCGAGGCAATTGACATGCAGAAGGCGCTGGGGTCCTGTCCAGGAGCCCGCGGCAGCATGTCCGTTGCACATGGCGCCCCAACCCGTGGAAGAGGCATCTGTGGAGACAACAACATGCCTGGAAACTCGTTCTAAGGGGACTCCGGCCCGTAGAAAACTGAGGTTCCTCCACGGGGTGAAGGTCTGACGGCAGGTCGGAGTCACTGGGACACGGAGCGTGCCATGATGCCATGCCCACCTCGGGACTCGATCGCGAAGCCACAGCTGAAGCGGTCTCATATGAAGCAATCCGAGCGGCGTTGCCGCGGCTGCAGATGGCATATGCCCCAGGAGCCTCTGAAACAATTTCAGTGGGACCGCACTCTTGCCATCGAACTGTCGAAGACAAGTCAGCAGTGAGTGTGCGCGCTCGCTCGTAAGCTGCGCGGACATGGCGACCGAGTCGATCTCCATACCGAGAAAAGAGATCCTCTGCGTGGGGCAGAGTTTGCTCTTCTCCCAGTTGACCCGAAGGCCCAGACGGGCTAGGTGCCGGAGCACTAAGTCTCTGTGTTCGCAAACCTGATCTCGAGAGTGTGCTACTATTAGCCAGTCGTCGAGATAATTCAGGATGCGAACCCCGTGTTCGCGTAGGGGAACAAGGGCTGCCTCGACGACCTTCGTGAAGACGCGAGGAGACAGAGCCAACCCGAAAGGGAGAACCGCGTACTGGTATGCCTGCCCCTCGAAAGCAAACCGGAGAAACGGTCTGTGTCGAGGTAAAATGGAGACATGAAAGTAGGCGTCCTTCAGGTCTATCGCTGCAAACCAATCCTGTGGCCGCACGCACTCGAAGATGCGTTTGGCCGTGAGCATCCTGAACGGCAGCCTGTGAAGGGAGCGGTTCAGGACGCGCAGGTCCAGGATCGGCCGTAACCCACCGGTTTTCTTGGGGACAATGAAGTACGGGCTGTAAAACCCCGACCTCACCTCGGCTGGAGGGACAGTCTCGATTGCACCCTTCGCCAGCAGGGTAGCAACCTCCGCTCTCATGATAGGGGCATTGCCACCGACCAGAGTGAAGCGAACTCCCCTGAAGCGGGGAGGAGACCGTGCGAACTGAATCGCATAGCCGAGCCTGATAGTTCGGGCGACCCAGCGGGACAGGCTGGGGAGCTCTAACCAAGCTGCCAGGAACTGAACCAGCGGGGTCATGCGAACCACAGGCGTCCCCCCGGAGGGGCAGCGAAGCGGAGCAACCGGCCCAGGCTCGGGTGGCACAGCGGCCCGGTGCGGGGGCGAGGTCAAGCTCCGCGCCCTGACAGAGGAGACCAGGGAAGGACCAGCGTTCCACGGGGGTCTGCTCTGCCAGGGGTCTGGCGATAGAGGGGGACGAGAGTGGTGAGGTCCGGAGACGGCACACACTGTCATCCTCGCCCTCAGGGACAGAGGGGAGTGAGAGCGGCGAGGCCCGGGGGCGTCGCGCACTGTCAGTCGGCTCTGTGTGCTCAGTGATGGGTGTATCGGTTCTTTCTTTGACCATAATAGGGTGCTGCCCACCCGTGGGTGAGCAGCGGGAGAACAAAAGATTCTCCCCCGGCCCTCCGCCGGGGGAAGGAGGGGGCCTGCAACCGCCTCCTGGGGAAAAACCGACACCATCACTGAGCAGCCCGTCTCAGGAGCGCCGCTTAGCCTGGCGTTTAGCGGGGCGCGGGGCTGGAGAGGGCTGTGGCGCCTTCCTGCGGCCTCCTCCAAGACGCGGCCTGGGTGAAGGCTGCTGCTGGGGCCGTGCGGGAGGGGAGGGAGCTACAGGAGGGCGCCCTCGGCGGCGAGCAGGCTGAGGCGTCTGTACCGACGGCAGGGTGGAGGCAGCAGCGGGCCGTCGGGGCAGAATATGTTTGATCGCCTCAGACTGCTTCTGTGCGGTTGAGAACTGCTGGGCAAAGTCCTCAACCGCTCCGCCGAAGAGGCCGGCCTGGGATATGGGGGCGTCGAGGAGGCGAGTGCGCTCCGCGTCGCGCATATCAGCCAGGTTCAGCCACAAGTGACGCTCCTGGACCACAGAGGTGGCCATCACCTGACCCAGGGAGCGTGAGGCCACTTTCGTCGCTCGGAGAGCGAGGTCAGTGGCGGCACGCAGCTCATCGAAGAGCCCTGGGTCAGTCCCCGCCTCGTGCATGTCTCTGAGCAGCTGGGCCTGGTAGACCTGCAAGGTGCTCATTGCATGCAGAGCGGCGGCCGCCTGTCCAGCAGCTCTGTAAGATCTTGCCACAAGGGTGGACGAAAATCTACAGGCCTTGGAAGGGTGCTTAGGATTACCACGTGATGAAGCGCTCTGAGGACATAGTTGCATGGCAACAGAGCGTTCAACCGGGGGAATCCCAGTGTACCCACGGGCGGCCGCCCCATCGAGGGGGGGAAAGGCGGAGAAAGCTGACGAACGAACACGGGAGGTCAAAGGAGCCTTTCATGACTTCGCCAGTTCCTCATGCACTTCCGGGAAGAACGGCATTGGGGTCGGCTGCGGCCGAGAGGCGGCAGCCGCACCCAAGAACCAGTCATCCAACCGCGAGCGCTCAGGGCAGGGCGGAGGATTCCACTCAAGCCCGATGCTCGCGGCGGCCCGGGAAAGCATGGCCGTCATCTCGGGATCTGATACGGGCAACGCTGGTACTCCAGAGGGAGGCAACGCAGCCGCATCGTCACTTCCCGATGACTCATGCCCGCCTTGTGATGCCGCGATCGACATCGAGTCCTCCTCTGGAGCGCCGAATGAAATACGCGGGGCATCATCAGATGAACCCGGTAAATTCACCACAGCACTCGCGGGTTGCAACACTACAGAGGGGGGCGTGGTCCGAGGACGCATCGTCGGATTGTCCCACACCGTCACCCTCAAATCACCCTGTCCACCAGCCGAAGTACAGCCTCTCGTGGAGGATGTAGATCGGGGTGTGGATGAGGGGACTCTCTCTCGAGTGAGATCATTGAGTCTAGACCTTAGTGTTGCGATGGTCATGTTCCCACAGAAGGAACATGAGTCATCCACAAGCGCTGCTTTAGCGTGTTCTAAGCCCAGACACGCAAAGCAGCGATTGTGCCCATCAAAGGAAGACAGGAAGCGACCGCACCCAGAAGAACACGGGCGAGACATCTTTAAAAAGACGTGCCACGTGCAGCTCTTTTAGAGAGGAAAAACTCAGCGATGCTGAGGCGACCAGGGAGAAGCACACAGACTGGCAGATCACTGCTCAGATCGCAGGCAATGTGAACTCGCTGGGTACCGCCGTCACACCAACACCGAAGAGTTCGCTCGTCTCAAAGAAGATGATGTCACCGAAAACTCAGGATTTGGCTTGTGGAGTGAAGAGAAGCTCTTGGCTCCGAAGCGAAAACATATCTGCTTGTTGCTGGCGTCCTCCTTTTATACCCACGCGGTGGGGCGGAGTTACGCTATGCAAATTCCGCAGACCCATGGCATTTCATCGCCATTGGCTCGTTTTATAATACACGAAGATGATTGGCTTTCTAAGCGAAACCCCCCATTCTCCGTCATCCGACGTAACTCGGAGTGACTACGAAAGGGAACATCTGTTTTTTCTCATTCACTACTCCCATCAAAAAGTTTTTTATGCTTAAAAAGTGATAAGAGTGCTTAAATTCAGTAGACTAGCTGAAGCTAGCACATGATAAGAACAATTACACTCAGAGACATGCATGAAGAAGTGAAGAATATACCATCAACTTAGAGAAATATTGTAAAGATATTTTTAACATGCGGTAAATGATGAGAGACAGTGGAGATATTCTCATTCTGCTCTTCAAAAAAAAACTTTGTTCCCCTGATTTATGCTCAAATATAATTATGTATAAATCTGTTTTGTTTATGTTCACAGCTTCATTATAGACTTCTCTGTGAACTGTGTTTGTTACAGCACAATAACTGGTTAAAAAACACTGCACATTAACCTCTAACTGAAGAGTTTTTTATTCATTTTTTTAATTATTTAAATATTATTATTTTATTATTTTCTTTGGCTTGATTGTTTTATTTTTTCACTTGAAAAACAAAGAAACAAATTATTAGAAAAGTATTGTAAAGCTTTGAGAGGCTCTATTCAGCCAGTCATCTATAAATTAAGTTTGCCTTCATCATAATGTACAGGCCAGCCTTCTGCACACCCCAACACAATGTAACGAGTGGACTTCTTCCCTTTACCATAGTCACATCTTGGGGGTCTCCCATTTGGTAATTTGCATGTGATCACAGGAAAAGGCTGGTTGCTCTTGAACAGGTTACCGCCCTGTGGAGTTCCTCCTGCCCCGCAAACTTTTCTAATATCTTTTGAATTTGCTTGGATGAAGGTGTTGACATCTTTGCAGCCACCATCAGTTCCAGTGATGTCTCTATTTCTGCTATTCATTTCACTGTTACACCTCTGCTCAGTCATATCAGGACCGAAATGCTGATCGAGGAATTTTTGATAGCGGGGCTTTATGTTGTCTGGTTGAGCATGAGTGGAGAACGACACACACAAGAGCAGCAGCAGAATCACAGCAGACTGATGAATCTCCATGACCTGCTGAACAATACACACATCAACACACCTTTACTGACATCTGACTTAATAAAGCAGTTTAGGTGGGATTAAGAAAATACTGTCGAGACCCTTCCTTTGTTTTTACTTGCACATATCTTAGTTACTTTACGTACCAAGTCTGTTTGTTTTTCTGTATTATATATCTTGTACTTCCTGAGTAAAGTTCTTAAGCTCTTACCTTGTTGTTGTGGGTAAGTGAATATTTTGTTGTCTTCTTTTGCCTAAAGGCTTTACGGTAATAAACGGCACGATAATGAACAAACCCCAGGAAATACTGATGAAGCTTGCTCCAAACATGTGTTTAGACTTCAGTGTTGTCTGTCAGTATTGCTGGATTTTTTATTGCAAACCTTTAAAAACTGGACAGTGCAAATATGACCTTGACCGATTTATTTGGTTAAAGGGAATTGCATCACCCTTATTTGTTATTTGAAAATATTCAACTAGAAAAACATTTACTGTGTTTCAAAGTACAGTTTCTAACAAACCAGAGCTAAATAAAATATCTCAAATATTGTGTCGTGATGCACACTGTTGATTTGATTGTTTTACTCTAAATTGGTGGTTGTCAGATCAAGTAACACGTATGATCAAATTGAAGTGTCACTATCATGTGAATCATCAATTCCATTTACAGTCAATGTAAGAGTGTGAGCAATGCCTTAAGGGTCTAATGATTAGACACACAATTGCAGATCAGAAATTAGATGTAGAATATGGCCAAATAAAAAGCACATTTCACGGGTTCACACAAATAAGTCAGATAGAATAAAAGTGTTTTTGGCGTGCTGGCCGAGGAGAGGCTCCGGGCTCGGTATTCGGCTCTGAACCCAGAGTACTCCCCCGTATTACTGGCTGTGGAAGAATAAGCCAAGAGTGAGGAGTCGGGGTGGTGGAGGGATGCTGAAAAACTGTCAAGGAATGTTAGGTGAGTTGACAGAGTGAATAAATATATGCTTCTTCTCATGCTGATAAGGTATACATAGTAATTGTTTGATGATATTTGATTGGATTGATTATTTGTGCTCCTCCCGAACTTTGTTTATAAAACATCATTTAAAATATATTATCTACGGTGGTGTGATTTACCACATTTGGAGAACCACTCGCTCTAAATACACGGAAATGTGAATCTCAGTCATAAAACAATTCTGTTTATAAATGTTGGTTTATCAATGATTTATTGATCTCAATGTGTGGACACTGAAAACTACAGAAGATGATTGTCAGTGTGGATGTCCTGCTTACCTCGGTTCACTTTATCTTTACGTCAGACTGCAGTGGAATGGAGCCAAGGGGAATATTTGAACAGTTTAGTCTGAGCAGTGAGCATGCTTGGTTGTTGTTGGTAGTTTACCTTACCTGTTAAACATTAATTTTGACCCTATGTTAATGGAAATAATCTAAGCATGGCATGCCGAAATAGTAGTTACATGTGTTATATGTGTCAGAAGAAAACTGCATGTCAAACCTCATTGAGTATATAGCCTACAATAATGATATGGAGCAAACTACAGTAGCCTACCTTTGTATGACAGCTTACTTATAGATCCCACATTTCCAAAGTAGAGATAAGAAGAGAGAAAAATACCATTTCAAAATCTGATTCTCGTGATTCCCACTAAGGAATGCCAATCAGGGAAATCGGATCTGTTAATGTGATGTCATGTTTGTACCAGTTTCACTAATGTTGTGGTGAATCATAGAGACCATCTCCTTAACTCACACAATTAAGCTTTGAAGTTTGAAGTTAAAATCTGAAGTTTTTGCCACTGGAGAAGTTTCAGGGACAGAAATTAAGGTAAATGAGATGTCCCACTAAATGTATTATGATTACAGATTGAAAAGTTTGATAGGAACACAGCTCAGTTTAGTCATCTTGAGAAATAGGAACACATTTCTCCCTCGCACGTGAAGATTGGAGAGATCAGAGAAGTCAGAGATGATTAATTATAACATCTGCCGGTACTGTATCTTCAATCTGCACGCTCAAGCAAGGCCTGCTTTTATTCCATTTCACAAGGCATTCAGACGCTCAGTTAAACGTGACCTCTTTCTTGATTTGACCGACTGTTTAAAAGCAAGTGTGAATGAGAGCCAGTAGTGCAGTGGGATTTTGGTCTGGGACACATTATTAAGATTCCTCTGAGATAAACTAAATGAAGCACAAGATGAGACTCAGTTCCTCCTCTTTCTTCTCAGTGATGGGAGCGAAACACTCAAGAACCTGTTGATGCGTATTTGAAAGCTTACATTCACAGCTTACAGAATAAAATGTGTATTATCTTTTTTTTCTTTTAAGGCTCCTTTAACAGATGAAAAAATATTTTTCAGTTTTATTAAATCAGTGCAGTATCTGTCATTCTCATGTTCTGTGTACTGTGCGATTACGACTCAAATAACACAATTCTATGTTTTTATTTATGATTTATGATTTGATTATCCCACAATAATATGAAATATGGTTTTACATGTATTTATCGGACCCACTCCTGTCCATTTCACAGTTTTGGCCACATCTGACCTGAAGAAAGTTGTTCAACCCAGTGGGAACTTACAAAATGTAGAAGATATTTTATCACTGTTTTTTATTTTATTTTTTATGTTATTACAGAGCCTCTGAACGGGACATGTTTATGGAAAAACAATATGAGATGGGAGGGAAAAATAGGCTATATGACAGCTTCATTATAATACCGCCGAACGAGAGGGTTTTGTATAGCAAGTGCGCCCTCTCGTGACCAGTGTGCGCCTCTCCACTTAGCCTACTGAGAAAAATTATATATAAAAAAAATTATTAAAATAGGCCTATGTTTACGAAAGCAAAGTTTATCAATGAAAAATAAACTTAATAGTTGAACACTAAACATTGCATCATGATAGATCATGACACGTAATCAGTTTATTCTAAGCTTACACACTGCGGTTTCAAAGTAGTGTACAACACGTCATGTTTTAGCTCTTCTTGTTGCATTTACACGGCTGTAACCAGCTTATGTCCTCAGTATGTTTCCAGTGAATCTAGCTTGTGTAGCCTAATCAAACTGATCTAACAGTGAATAGCTGGCGATGTCAATATGGGAAGTGGAATTAAAACAACACAAATGTAGTGCAAATTCAAAGGAAGTAAGACCATGTTAGTTGATATAGCGCTCGAATGCCTAAAGTAATGTTACTGTTTGCTAGCCTTGAGCCTACTGTTAATGTATCTTGGCAGCCTTGATCTATAAGAGGCTAAGACTAACTAGTAAGCTCGCTGGCTAACATCTACAATAACATCAAATTGTGTAGCCTATATTTTGTGGGTCTCTTTTCATATTGCTCAGGTGCACTCGTGTATGTCTTTTGTCTGGTCTCTTTCATTATCCTAACAGATTCTCTCTTGAAGTGCAAGAGGCTTTAACATCTCCATACTCATCTCAATTGGTAGCCTGACTACGTCAGACTTCGTACTTCCGCTCAATTTCAGTTCGCTTCAAGCAAAGTGAAGTAGCAGAGTCTGGTATTACCAGGCTACTCAATTGGCTCCCAGTGACCAAAATAATAAATACCATGACCAGTTTTACTGTAGTAACAATCACTATAACTGTTGGTGAAAGTGAAATAATTTATAACCTGAGGATCCAATGTTAGCTTAGTCCACGATTATTTCTGACAACATGCACAAATATTTTGGAGACATAAATTCCAGCTGTTATGAGTGAATCATATGTTTTTAATAATATTTATCACATAAACACACAAAGATTTTTCACGTTAATTTCCTTGTTTCAGAAATGAAAAAAGCATTGTGGGTTTTCAGGCACTTTTTCCCATTGGCTGATGTAAAGAGTAAGATATTCTTACTAAAAAAACTTCTTACTAAACAACCTTTAGTGTTAGAAAACTAAAGCATTAGTGTCCACTTATTAAATGATGGTAAAATCAGAGGCACAGGCTTGAGTTTAGCATTTATTTGGTTTGACACTTAAAATAAATGAGTCTCTCTATTTACATATTTAAAATGAGCACCATACAGAAGACACCATCCAAAAAAGGAACAAAATAATAAGAGTATTGCCAAAAGAAACAAAGTCAGCTTGCTGAAGGCTACACTGGCCAAATCATTTTCATCAAACAGTGATAATATTATACATACCAGCAAAATAAAATAATGCCATGAGTTTAAAAAACACACACTCATAAACCCCAGCTGAACACAATAAAACTGAAAGAGACACGAGATGCTTGACAAACACAACTGAATATGATTTATGACCAAAACTGAACGAGACACAAGATTAAAAAACATAGACAAATAACGTGTCTCTTCATCTTCCTCCTCACATGCCAACAAATAACATTTCATTGTGACTCATTTTTGCACATTTTAACAATGTAGATAAAGATATATCTACCAAACATATGAAGACACACTATGATTTAATTGCTATAAAAATTGATTTTTTTATACACACATTTGTGTGAAATTTGTGCTGTAATATTCCTCCTGACAGCATCACACCAAGTATTTTCATAAATACTCTAATGCACCAACTTTAAAATAAATAAATGCATATGAATAAGCTGCACCAACATAATCAAGGCATGATTTGGTTCTGGTGCAGATGCTGGACATATACAAAGCCATGCTATTCACAGTTGGTCAACCAAGGGTTAGTGTCAATGTTTAAACTAAACACCAGCAAAATATTGATATCATACTTTTCCAGTTACAGCAACAATACCAGTAAAAACAGCTTCAGTGTCAGTAGTGCAGTAGAGCACTTAAGTCCTCTGAGACTGTGAGGTATTTCTGGAAATGCAGTCAGTTCTAATAGCGAGGATGTAAACAAGCAGGATATTATGATTGATGTGTCAAACCAGTTCAGTGCATCAGGGCTTATGAAAATGACAAGATAATCACTCACTGTTCCTGTCTGAATCCATAGCTGCCAACTTTTGAGTTTGAGTTTTGCTTGTTTTATTTTAGTAACTAAACAGAATTGTATTAGGTTTAGTGACAACATGTTACATTGACTACATTTACATGCAGCTAATAACTCGTTCAAAACCGGAATATTAACAATAACCCGGTTGCGCACGGCCATGTAAACACCGGCAAAAACCCAAATATGTTCATATCCCGGTTTTTAAAAACCCGAATATGATCCCTGGAGTACCCCTTCTCTAACCCGAATATTTGGTCATGTAAACGCGTATCGACATATCCCCATCAAAAGGAACATTGATTTGTGTTCTGCGCATGTTCTATTCGCAAGGAATCTTGGTCTTTTGAGTAGAGACGGCGCATACAAAAACCCGCGTGCAGTATACCGAAAGTAAACAAGAAGTAGAGGTAAACATGACGAGACGCAGCACAGCACCACACTTTTGGAGCGAGGAGGAAAGCGCAAACAAAGGGGATCGCTATCTGCCCTGAACTATTCATTATCCGCGTGCTGCTGCTGTTGTTGTTGTCTTTGGATACAGGAAGAAGATTCGGAAATGACGCATATTGCGACTTATGCCTGGTTCAGATTAGACGATTTTTTTTGTCTGTTACGATAGTCACTGTGTCAGATTACGCGATTTTGACTCCTAAAATCTTGTCGTGTCGTGGACAAGAAACATGTCAGACGACACGTTGCTTCCTGACCAGTCATCGTGTGCCGTCTTTAACGACGCACGTGATGTCATTGAGAAGGCGAAACTAGTAGCGAGTGACTTCCGGAAACGAACGTAAACAAACAATGGGTGAAGCGGTGAGTGTTGTACTGGCTGTCCTGTGTTCAGAAAAACTTTAAAAAAGACAGAAAACCCGACAATGGACACGTTCCTGGATTGCTCAAAGAGGACAGTATGGGCTGTTAATCCTCCAAAGAGAACTTGAGGTCAAATATTGTTTTCTTACGAACCTTTCCTCCATGTCATAACTTCACCTAGTAGCACCATCGTCTCTCTTTCGTTTCGCCATTTTTGAAAGTTGTGTACGGAAAAGCTTCTGTGCTCCTATTGGTCAACCTCATACATGTGACGGAACCCGTCGTGGAGGACCGTTAAAAAAATTAAACATGCTAGTCTTTTTGTCGTGATGTCGTGAAGCATTGCAGACGCGACGTAGGTTGTCAGCAACTATGACACACTATACGAGATGATACGATCGAATCTTGCGTCCCGACGCCCGTTGTCGTTTACGAATCCCCACGACACCCTACGTCAAACGGATCCTGCCAAAATAGGGCTAAAATCGTGTAATCTGAACCAGGCATTAAGGTTGTCCGTACGTCCAGAAGCTAACCGTGCGTCGCCGTTTACATCCATAGACAGTAAAAGAAATGGACACAGCGACCCCGTTGATTTCAACGGAGAAGACTGAAGCCCGATTATTGCACTTCCTGTCTGATGGCTGAGCGACTGCGCAGGCTCAAACTGAGCTTGACGACAGTCTGACAGTTGTACATCTTCTAGTAGCTGTGGCAAAACAAATCTGAATCACCTAATTCCTCAAAAACGTTGTTGAAATATTTTGTCCCGTTGTTTTTATGGACTCTCTATCTATGGGCTTCTCCCTTGACTTTATGCCTCTATGTCCCCCCGATTGCCTCATAGACAGTAAAAGATTGCCTGCGAGCTTCTCCTTCTGTCTATACGATAATGTCTCTATTGTGCGACATAAAGTCGCGTGGTTATGACGCAATCGTTAGCCTGTTTTTAACAAAAACGGCTTCTACGGGGCCATAACTTAAGATACAAAGTAATGGAGCCTTTTATACATTGTCGTGTTTATTTAGAAATAAATAATGGACAAATTAAGTCTTTGGACACCTCAGATGTAAAGTTATTCGCTGTCAAAGTGACGCCAAAATGAATGGGAGTGAATGGAATGCTAACAGCAGGTGAAGTTCTGCTACAATGGCGGCTCCCGCGAGGCTTCAACTTCCGGCTGATGGATTACCCCCTTGTTTACATCGGGATATTGCCAAATGATTACAAATTCCATGTATACAGGAGTAACTCTCTCTGCTCACGCATGTAAACGGGTTATTCCGAATGTTTCAGAAACTCAAATAGTGACCTTAACCCAACCATAACCCAAATATTGACAGCTTGTAAACGTAGTCAATGTTTACATATTCTGTACAATTTCTGGTAAGCTACGTTTTTTTTATTATTATTGCTTGACAAATTTCACCATTTCAATACAAATCAATTCTTGTGATTTGATTTAATATTGACTCATTTGGATAAAGATTAGGTACACAAGATAGGCGTTAATTTTTCTCAAGAAAAAAAAATCTCACCTAATGCTGTAAACATGCAGAGAGCCTGAGAGTCTGATTGTAAGAATTCTCCTTTTTAAAGTAATGTCAATCGGGTCACATGGTGAGTTATCACAAGCCATCATTCTCCTGTAGGAAAACACAGATTCACAGATGGTTAAAGGCAGGGTAGGTAGAAATTCTTTTTCCAAATTTGTTTAAACTGTCTTTATATATCAATACATAATTAAAAGTAAGTGCTCTGGAAAAGAAATGATAAAAATCGAGTGTCTGTAGTCCTCCCAGGACTGTAATAAACACAGCTCATTATTCCATTCGGGACGAAAGAAATGATTGGCTGGGGCGACTGTCACTCTCCCTCGCTACCAAGGATACCACCTCTGCTGATACAGGAGCAGCCCAAATGCGCGCACCCGTTTGAAGAGGCACGGAAGCTAGTAATAACAATTATGGCAGAGAAAGAACAGTCAAAATTCTCATGCATATAGAGGCAGCGAAGTCAAACAAGTTAAAAAAAGGAAGACAGTATTTGAAAAGGCTATGAACAAAAAGTCTTTGGATAAATAAAGAAATCATACGAGAGTCAATATCGGCGTGGCTTTCCAGCGGTGGCGACTACTGAGGGTTCTCAAGGGGCTGAAAAGTGACTCCATGATGGCTTTATTTCTGCTGGACAGGTAATCTTGCTGTTTTCATTTTGATGGCATTTATTTTTTCATGAAGCATGTATCACTAGCACACGTAGCTACCTAATATAGCTACCTAACGTTACGTAGCATAACTAACGTTACACTGGCTTAGCTATGACAGTGTAACTTTGGTGTCGACTGGTATAACGTTACTGTTAGTGAGCCAGGGTTGAGACGATAAATAAGCAATAGGCCTATCTGCAGTTGAAAGCTGTTTTGTTTAATTTCGCCAAATTTAGGTTAAAAAGTTTAGGGGATCTATTTTTATACCTAGCTTTACCCTCTGCCTAAACTTTGTTCCCATGTTCACCGTGAACTCTACCTGCTCTGTTTTTTCATGTTTGGTTTGTTGTTATATGCTCTACATATGTTTACCTATGTCTTTATGTTGTATCTGTATGTGTTATACAATATATGTTGTGTGTGTGTGTGTGTGTGTGTGTGTGTGTGTGTGTGTGTGTGTGTGTGTGTGTGTGTGTGTGTGTGTGTGTTAGATTATCTTGTGTCTGCAATGCAGTTGTGAGAAGGTGTTTGAGTGTATGTTACTCAGTTTATCTGTAAACAATCTTATGTTATGAATCTTACAAATTCACCTTCATCACAGACAGTGTAACTGATAGTAACGGCAAACGTGTATCAATTAAGCTATTTATAGCTTTGCCTTATATTGAGTTTGATTCCGTTACGAGCTAGTAAAATATTTTAAATTTTACCAGTTTCGATATGCGAGCTTGATAGTGAGTACTAACAGCCATGTTAATTGTTTATATTCATACTGATAAAGTTAGTTATTTTATTACTTGTGATTGACATGATGTCACTACATGCACTGCGCTCCTCTCTGCTCGGCGCTGATAAACGCGTCCGACTCTTCCAGCTGAGCGAACGGCCGGGATCGCGCGTTCATGTGTTTTGGGGGCGTGGCTTTGGAAGGAGCCGAGAAGGGAGGGGGTGGGAGTTAATGGAATAATGAGCTGTGTTTTTTGCAGTCCTGAGAGGACTACAGACACTCGATTTTTATAATTTTCCAGAGTACTTACATTTTAATTATGCATTGACATATAAAGACAGTTTAAACAAATTTGGAAAAAAAGTAGGCCTATTTTTGGGGATTTCTAGCTACCCTGCCTTTAAAGGTGACATATCATGATAATCTGACTTGTTCCATGTTTAAGTGCTAAAATCCGGTCCCTGGTGCATCTACCAACCCAGAAAACATGAAAAGTGACAACCCAGCATCTTTGTTTTGGTAAGCCTTTCTCTGCAAGCATGTCAAAAAATAAGCTGATCAGATTTCTCGTTTATTATAATATACCGCCCTGCAAATCTGAACATTAACACCCACGGCGTCGCCATTTGGTTTAGGCTACCACAGTGTAACCAGTCCTAACGCAATGGCAAAAGTTCGAGGAAAGCATGCAAACTGTTCTGTTGTCGCTGCACAGACGAGCACTGAACACTATTTAGAGTCCCAGACTCAGATGAGACAAGAGAGAAGAGGATTAAATGGAAATCCCCCAGAAACAGATGAATCAATGTAACTCCACATCTAAAAGTTGCAAGTTTTGTTACTGTACCTGAAGTTTGTGTATTAAAGGTCTTCTGAATGGGGCGGGAGCAGCAGCTCATTTGCATTTAAAGAGACACACACAAAAACTGCATGTTTTTGCACACACCCAAAAATGGGAACATTTTACAAGCTATAATAAATTATCTGGGGTTTATTTTGAGCTGTAATTTCACAGACACATTCTGGGAACACCATAGATTTAATATTACATCTTTTGTAAAGGGGCATAATATGTCACCTTTAAAGTAATACATGTGAGCACCATCAGCGTTTCTCACCGGTTCGCGTTTAAAGTCTGTGTAGAGAGAATGGCGTCGTCCTAGCGGCCCCTAATTTTAATAACAAATGATTGTTGCGACGGAAGCTAATCAATCAAAAACTAACTTAAGCTGGAAAATAACTTTATTAAAGAACCGCTATAAAGCCAAAATGATCTCTGTTACTTTAAATTATACGTTTATCTCTGTAAAGCTGCTTTGAAACAATCTACATTGTTAAAAGTGCTATATAAATGGAGATGACTTGACTTAACATATCGTCAACATAGGTTGAGCACCAGTCAACGTCCAAAACCTTTACTTGAGAACGGCGAGCAGCAAGATTTGCTTAGATTTCCAAATACCTGCAGTTCTCTGACTCTCTGCCAGAAGAAAACATACTTACATCTGCTCAGACCCTGACGTGGCACTGAACACCTTTCCACTTCAAAGACCGTTTTTATTAAAATAAACGCCGGTGTGGATTTTAGCGTACATTTACTCTAAGATTAAATCTGTGGCTACACACGTTTTATAAATGAGCCCCGATATCTTACATTGCATCAAATCTTCTATAATACAGTACTACAAAATTGTATTATGATTTCAATATCGCATCTAAAATTCTTGAACTGACAATTAAGGCACTTGCTCTCTGAAAAAAGTTGCACTTTATGTTTTGTATGAATTGTTATTTAGTTTATTTGGGAGTTGTTTTTGTTTTGAGGATTTAATAATAATTAAAATTATAATTATATATTAAAATGTAATCATGCCACTGTTCTTTTATGCACAGTAAATCTCATATGTCTTGCTAAATCAGCTGTATGTAATAATTACACTCTGTGCTGCTGGTGCATAGGTCCTGTGGTGACGATAGTAAATCACAGCAGCAGTTACAGCAGCAAACACCAGCAGAACAACAGCAACAACTATTCCTGCTACAGCTCCTGAAGACAGACCTGAACCTGGAACATCTGCAGAGAAACAGACATTATTACGAGAGAGTGGATGATTATCCATCCAGTATTTTTTTTTCTTTTTTTACTTTAAACCCTTCTATTGATCATCAGCTGTATCAACATGACACAGCAGCGTTCACTGGAAAACAAACATTATGCATTTTTCATGTTATCAAGTTAATAACATTAGTCAAAATGTTATTGAGCCAAATTCACAACTCAATTCAATTCACAATTTTATTGAGTTGATTTAAAAATACTTAACTGATTTTCTCAATTCCTCAAAAGAAAATGCATTGAGAAACTGAATTATACACTCACCAATGACAGTAAGACTGAATCTCTTCACTCTAGTGATGCTGAAGCTGCTGTTGATGATGTTGATCTCTAGTTTATATTCTCCAGAGTCTGTGTTTCTGGTGTGTGTGATGGTCAGAGATCCAGTCTGATGATCCAGCTTCAGTCTGTCTCTGAATCTCTCAGTGCCTTCATTACACTGAACATCTGTACAGGTTTTATTTGGATCTCCAGTGATTTCAGTGATGAGAGTGTCATTAAAATACCACGTCATCACATAATTTAGTTGTCTTGCCACAGGAGGATCAAAAGTGACAGATTCTCCCTCGTTTTTCTTCACTTCATCTATATCAGCAGCAGAAACACCTGAAACACAAACCAACAGATGCTGGAGGATCTTTAGCTGAAAACAAACAAAAACTACACAACATGAGAGAACTGTGAACATGACTGCGATTGCAAAAGCCCTTTCTTGACTTTCGATCTGAAAATAAACATTTTGGTCTGTGCCTGTAAACACAAATTAACAATGTGCTTTAAAAATATATAAACTGGATTTAAACATTTTTAAATGACTCACCTTGGACAGAAACACTGACGATCTTTTTACTGTCGCTGCTGCTGCTGATGATCAGTAGTTTATATTCTCCAGAGTGTGTGTTTGTGATGTTTGTGATGGTCAGAGATCCAGTCTGATGATCCAGCTTCAGTCTGTCTCTGAATCTCTCAGTGCCTTCATTACACTGAACATCTGTACAGATGAAACTGAGATCTCCACTGATTTCAGCTATTCGAGTGTAATTAAAATACCATTTAATCTCTTCTTGTTGGTTTGTTTGAACACCAGTGTATAAAGTGACTGAATCTCCCTCCATCATTGACACTGACACTTCATCTGTATTAACAGCAGATGAACCTTGAGAAAAAACATAAGCCAAACAAAAAAATACATCAGTGCTGTGAAAATGTTTTTCTACAGATCACATCGATTTTAAGTAGAAAACTATGTCTGTATTCATAATGTAACATGCAAACAAACAGCAGAAGAATATCTTCTTACAGTTGTGCTCAAAAGTTTACACACTCTTTGCAGAATGTGCTAAATGTTAACTATTTTAACAAAATAAGAGGGATCATACATGCTATTTTTTATTTAAAGGGATACTGCCCTTTTTTTTGGAAATAGGCTCATTTTACAACTCCCCAAGTTAAACAGTTGAGTTTTACCATTTTCGAATCCATTCAGCCGATCTCTGGGTCTGGCAGTACCACTTTTAGCATAGCTCACTGTAGCATAGATAATTGAATCGGACAGGACCATTAGCATCTCATTAGCATAAAAAAATGACCAAAGTGTTTCGATATTTTTCCTATTTAAAACTTGACTCTTCTGTAGTTACATTGTGCACTAAGACCGACGGAAAATGTAAAGTTGCGATTTTCTAGGCTGATATGGCTAGGAACTATTCTCTCATTCCTGCGTAATAATCAAGAAACTTTGCTGCCGTAAAAATAAATAGGCTGTCACGGTTAGCAGGTTCGCCTGTTCATTCTGTGTGTACTACTCTGGTCTGATTGCCTATCAGCGTCAGCTGTGCTGGCTAGCAATCAGACCAGCCGCAGGTGTGTCTCGTTTATGGGTCCTATATGTAGTCTTGTGTTTGTCAGGTTCATTGTCACTATTTCTGCACACTAAAAAAATGCAGGGTTGTTTTAACCCAAATTTGGGTCAAATATGGACAAACCCAACCGTTGAAAAAGGAGATGTTGAAGTCAACATTAAATTATCAAAATCAGAGGGGAAATTAAGGCATAGTGTGGAGAAGTATAAATCCACAATGGCAACAGAGCTAGGATAATGCAACAAAAGGGAGAGTACTATACGGTTATCCGGACCACACGATGGCCTACCCCTAACCCCTCCCCTAAACCTACCCGTCACTGGGGTTAAGACCAGTCAGGGATGACTATACAAACTATACGGGACTAAAAGACACACGTGTGGTCCGGATAACCATATAGTTCCAAAGGGGGACAGTAACACGAAATCCAAAGCAACGTAGGTATATCAAGAAGTAGGGGAACAAAGAGGAAAAAGCAGGTGATAATCAGCAGGCTGAGAATTGGGCATAGCAATCTTAACGGCACACTTTTAATTACAGGAAAACATTCTACAGGAATGTGTGAACATTGTCAGGAGGCTGAAACAGGAGAACATATTCTTACAACATGCAGGAAATTTACTCAGGAAAGACAAGAAATGATAACACAGTTAAAAAAAATAGGACGGGTAGATAATACAGTAAAAAGTAGGCCTATGTATGGAAGGAGTAGCCTATGGAGAGAGTGCGGAGGGTAGGAAATGGATATTTGGTCTTTTGGGGCCAGTTGTTCAAAACATTTCATCTGGATAAAAATGATCCGGATTTGGAAATCCCATTTTTTCCTATTCAGGATCAGGTAATCTGTCTTAATTTTATGCCGGTTTTTCAAAGCAACATTGGACTGGATCACCCTGATCCAGATACACAGTTTTCAAGATTACCAAATCCGGATTACCAGTGCTCTAAATGGGACAACATAGCACAATGTGGGCTACCAGCTATGTAAAGAACAGGTAGAAAAGCCAACATGGAGTCACTGTAAGTGTTTCTTATTTTGAAACAAAACACAAAAATAACTTAAACATCCACTTCAATTCATAATTTCTTTTATGACCCCTCATCTGAGCCACAACAAATAAAAAAACAAATATACATTGAGGATATTTTGAAAATGCCTTAATATATATATATATATTTTTTTTTGAATGAGGGACTGAATGGACATATAGTATGCAATTGTTTGAAATTATTTTTGACAGGCTCATCTCTGATGATTGTTTCTTTGAAATTAATATACGGTGATGAATGACAGAAAAATGGAATATATTAATTTTGTTTGTTATTGAAATTTGTTTGGGGGATTATTTCATGGGGAAAAGATCATTTTTATTTTTACTTTACTGAATAGCTTTATTGGTAGCCTATGTCTACTTTATCTACTTTATCACTGTTACAACGGTTACACAAGTCAAGTGCAAAATATAAATAAAAGTATATATACACTAAATGATACAAAAGTATTATTTGACCAATTTTAAAGTTTTACTACATTTTCTTCGTGGAATCCACCTTGAAATTCTACCCCTGTTGGGATCAGGATAATCTTGTTTTTTTGGATCAAAGTTATCCAAATCATACTGACAAGTTTTGAACAACACAAACTGAAGGTTTGATCCAGATTAAAACTAGGATTGGATTCCATGATCTAATCTGATTTCAGACTCATTCTTTCCCTTTTGAACAACCCATTTTCAAGATTTGATCCAATCCGATAACCAAAATCCGATCAGTTTACCTTTGAACAACTGGCCCTTGAGGATGGATTAGACAGGCGGATTTAAAACAAAGGGTAAATAAAACCGAAAGGTTGCAGTAATGCAACTCAAAGGATGCCCGCTGCCGTAAAAACATAAAGAAGACGGTTCATCGTCAGATCGTGTACTGTTTCATTGTTGTCTCGCTGTCGATGCAGTTTATCTATCCAGTTCTCCTGTTTTTTTCGGACTGTTTCCTCTCTGTGCCTGCGTTTTGGATTATTGCCCGGGTTGACGTTCACCGCTGTTTGGTGCAGTGGAAACAGCGGTCCCCGTCTACTAGGATCGGATTACAGCCCACTGCATTCCCCTGCGCTGCCAAGGACCTAACTGCTGACCAGATACTCTACACCAGCACCACCTGTCTTGTTTTCTTGCTGTTCTAAATAAATCTAAACTTTAAATCGCAATTGGATCCTGTGTCTCGTGACCTGACATAGGCTATATGTAAACTTTTGAACGGGGACATTTTAAATTCAGCTTCTTTTTTTCTTCTTTTTTTTCTAGTGGACTAGGCTATACAACATCTATGTAAAATATCTTAATCAGGACAGTAGGCTGTTTAATAAAAATAAAAAATAAAAACATGCATTTTTAATGATCCATCTTATTTTGTTAAAATAATTAACATTTTGCAGATTCTACAAGGGGTATTTTGCAACCTTTCCCTATATTTGCACATTTATATAATAAAAATGTTTATAGACTCATAATAAATATTACAGATTATTCCATTAAAATACTTCAGATCACCCCATTTCATTAAGATACGGATAATGCAGTGTCGTTATTATCTATTGTTTTGTCTTACCGTTCGAATTACTCGCGTAAAGAACGTTTTGAGGCTACATTATATTTTATTAATTCGGCAGAAGCTTTTGTTCAAAGCGATTTACATCACATTCAAGTCAATTTAATCAGATTATGCACCAATGCAAAAGAATACCGACATTTACTGACTGCACGCCACTGAAACTGACATGCGGATTTCTCAGTGAATAATCTGACAGTGTCAGGTTGTTACCATTTCATGTAATCAATCCTGCCATCACTACAGCGCCTATGCAGTCAGAGAAATCGATGCAACACCAGAAAATAGATCCAAACCTTAATCTTACCGTGGTCGAGTAAAATCCAGATCAAATGAAAGAGAATCTTCATTTTCACCACTCTCCCCTTGAAACAATGAATGCCGATGATAATTCATAAAAGTGATTTAAAGGTGTGGATGCTGCGGCTGTTAGGAAACCTGATAGCCTCACGAATGACCAGCAGTTTTCTTAAAGGGGTCATATAATGCCATTTTTGTACAAGTTAAAATGATTCTTTAGGGTCTAAATGAAAAGTGTGTAATATAGCCTACTTTAAAGGGTAACTAAACCCTAAACCAACTTTTTTTAGTTAATGATCTGTAAGAATGGGGCCTGTTGCTGTTCATTGATTTGAGTAACTTTTTTGACATTTGGGTATAAAGTGTTTTAATTCTACAATATCTCTTCAGGTTGAACGATGGCTACTGTAGTTGAATTTTCCTATTGGATGTTTGCGGTACTATGTGACGTAACCGGTACTACGTGATGTGAGCAGGTTCCACCTCACCACGCTCTTGTCTGTATAAAAAACATCTTGTTTCGTCAAAACCACTGTAGCGAGTCAGGAGTTGGAATTGCGAGTATTGAAAATGATCAGGATAGAGTAGAAATGGGCTTCTCCACACAGCTTGCGCTGAAAAGCGACGAAGTGCCAAACGCTACACCTCCTGCATGGACTCCACCAGTGCAGCGGCGTCTTGATGTGAGTGATCATATATATTTTAAAAGTTAATAAAGTTGATCCTCTGGGGTCGACAAACGTGCCGGTACATTTTGCTGGATTTTTTCACATAGCGGCAAAATATGAATATGCCTACAGAGAGCACGCGCTGTTGACTTCAACTTGATATAACTCATCAGATGCATGTACTTTACGTCGTCTTGCGACCCTGT